GGCGGTCCTGGACGGTCGACTGGGCCAAGCAGTGGGAGCCCAGCAATTCCCAGAGAGGACGGGGCCGCGGAATCTGCCCCGTCCAAGGCCGTCGGGGGAGGTCCCAGCGAGCGCCGCATCCTCCTGGATGAGCTCCAGAAACCATCCTGGGGGGGAGCTGCAGCCTGTGGCCTGGCACCCTGGGCCCGTCTTGCACCCGAATAGGCTGAGGCGCTTGCGTTCCTCAGCTTGGGCGCCAGGGCCTGGTGCCCGTCCCCTTCCATTGGCCACCTCACCCACGACATACCCAACCCTTCGCGGCCACAAAGGGCATGTGCCCACACCCTCTGGCTGGAGAGCGGCAGAGCCAGGGCACTGCCCGGTGGCCTTGGCCGTGTGCTGCACGATGTTTGGCAGGGGAGCACGCCCCAGGAGGGACCCGCAGCTGGCAGAATGCCCCCCACTGGCTCCTCCTACTTGGCCACTTCCCCCGCCCTCCGGCTGAGACTCTGCACCGCCACGGAGCCGCCCCTGCAGTGCCTTAGAGTCCATAGGGGAGGTCTGGCTCATCCATCTACTGAGGGCCAGGGACCAGAGGAGCTTGTGAGGGGGTGGGCAGCTAACTGTGGGCTCTGGCCTCAGGACGGTGCCAAGGGGGTGGCCTCGGACAAGGCACCTTGGCCTGATGGTACGCCCCTGGGTGGTCACTGAGGGAGGAGAGCGTCTGTGAGGTCCGGGCGGTGCCAGCGGCTGCATCTGGAGGCTGAGAGGGCGACACGCCTCGCAGTGGCACGAGGGGGGAACCCAAGGCGGTGTCAGGAGGCAGAACGGAGCCACGTCGAGATCGTGGATGCTGCCCTGCCTTGGGAGTGGTGCCACGCTGGGCTGCGGTGCAGGATCGATGCCCAGCAGTGACGGGGGGACCAGCGTGTGACAGGCTGATCGGAGCTGGGAGGCCGAACGGTGCGGGACGGGGTGCCGAGGGGCTGGCAGCTGCGACTGGGACCTGCAACGCGTCCAGGATCGACTGTCGGAAGGCGCTCTCAGGCGGGAACAGCTCCAAGGAGGCGGCCTGTCTACGGCACATGGGGACCTTTGGACCATCACCTCAACGAGGCCCCTCGTGGCTGTGAAGGTGTCGGGGAGGAGGGGGTGACGGCCTCTTCTGCATGGAGCCTCGGGGAGCGCCGCACCCGAGGGCGCTGGTGCTGGGCTGGCTTTCCGGGGTGGTGCTGGAGGTAGCGAAGGAGCACCCGTCGTCGGCTTGGCAGCCCCCCGCCGAGGAGGGGGCGCGGCCGGG